TAGACTTAATCCTTTACACTCGAGAATCTCACAGTCATTTGTTTTGATGCAGCAAAGTTACGAAGTTTGCTGTACTATATTAACACGTTCATTGCCGCACGATTTTGTCGCGACAAATATAGAAAATGAAAATAATGTAATCAACTTCTGCCATTGAATTACGTTGTTATTATTACAGGTTTGAATCGTTGAATGTCTGCATTAAGTTGTATTACTTATAATATAGAAAAGTTTTCTAATAATCATCGTTTAATGAAATGAATTATAGTAATTCGATTTGGTTAAGGTCACCGGTGACCCCCATGGCATTTAACATGTTAACCCTTTGAACTCTGTAGGCTCCAATATTGCACCAGGAATAGTATTAGATATTTTAATGAATCTTAAAGAAACTATCCTATAATTATTAGATTTCTCACACATCCAAATTTTGTACTATGGAAAATAAAAGATCTAAAAAATGTTATAGCGTTTTTTGTTTTCACTAGAGATACTATAAAAATTAGTTGCAGTTGCTGATAGATTACAAAACCATCTGGAGTGCTAAGGATTAAAGTTCATTTCACGTAATTATCTATGATTAACTAATTAAAATAGAACAGTCCTATCCCTTGATTGCTATATTATTCACATCAACGTTAGTCATATCACTGATATTTCATTAGAAAATGAAGAATATAGCGAAACAATTTTCGAGTGCAAAATAAACAACAAAATTTGGTTTTGATCTCAAGAACGCAACGATACCGAAGATTCTCCTGGATATTTATTTACTTGCTAATAGAGTATAACAAAGGCCTGCACGAAGACCGTCTTCGCTAGGGGACTCGTTCGGGATTCGCCGGCAATCAAACAGCCGACGCGATAAGATTAACGTTTGACACTGCTTCGCTACGGCTTGGGCTAGATTAGGAGCGACACAGGTGAAGCGAGTCGAGTCGAGTCGAGTGGAGCTCGATCGTTGGATTGGCGAAAGTTTAATCGGCGAACTCGTAATTGGACAATCGGTGGAAGACCTCTTTCCCTTTAAGGAGTTGTTTCCCAGGAACGCACACACGGTGAAAGACCGTTCCGAGAAGCTGGATCGAGTTCACCCTCGATCGAATCGATCGCGGAGAGTCTATGACGATTATCTCCGGCGAGGAGGGGAAAAACGCATTCCCGTTGATATCGACGATTTCATGCGACACGCGCGACGCGGTGTCTAATGGCGAATCGTCTTCGACGGATAATCAATTTCACGGTAACGATCCCGACGGCCTGGCTCCAGCGAAACCTTAAAATTCATTGTCACCGTAACTACGAATACGACCGCCATGTTGGATCACAGGGCCAACTTGTCGAAAAATGAATTCTCTGGAATTTTCACTACGTATATAGAACCCTTAACCCCTTGGACTATGACTTCTTTCTCAACTCTGATCGATACGGCTTTGTCATTAATAATTTGTTGGAAAAAGAGAAAAATCCTAAGCATATAATGTTATGCCTATGTTTCCTTTTAAGTATCATAGTTGATTACAGAAAAATAATATTTACTTTGAATTCCAATGAACTAAGTAATATATATATTTGTTGAATCATGTTGAAAATCTTCATCGCGAGTCTCCCTTGTTGTAGGGCAAGGGGTTAACTAATTAACACCTTGAACGCCGCACGATTTCATGGTACAAAATACTTAAAATGGGAAAAATATGATATTAAATCATTTGATTGAATTGCATTGTTATTATTGCAGGTTCATCTAGCTGAATTTCACTGTTATGTAGCATTATTTACAATATAGAAATGTTTTCATATAATTGTCATTTCATTGAGTGAATTATAGTACAATAATTCGATTTGGTCGGGGGTCACCGGTGACCCCCATGGTATTCAACGTGTTAACTGTATTTGACGAGTATACATGTCATCTTAAAACTTTTAATGGCGCTAACTTTTTCAATGATGGATTATTTATTTTTTGAGACAAAATGTAATTCTTCTTTTCATTTGAGCTGCGTTTAACGAGTATACACTTCATTATTTGATTTTATTGCACGCACAATGAGAGATTTTTCAAACTAAATTCCACATTTAACACGGTTAATACGTATGCCATGGTCAACGGTGACGTCAACCAAATCGAATTACTATGATTCAATAGACTAAACGATGATTGTTTGAAGACTTTTTTGTATTATAAGTGGCATGATTTAATGCAGTGACATTTAACGACATAAACCTGCACTAATAATGTAATTCATAATTACATAACTCATAATTCATAATTACATAAATTGATATTACATTATTTGCATTTTGTATATTTTTGTGAAACATGTTTAGTGTTAGGTGTACCATATATGGTACACACCAATTTCTGTAAGAAAATATTTTTAGCATTAAAACTACTGAAGAGTTAATTAACTAGAAATTTTTCTATAAACTCCAAGGGTGCATCTGTTGAGATTTTTATTGATTTACAATTCAGCTTGCACATTGCTAAGTCAATTTCTTTAGTGTTTTTAGAGAATTGTCTGTTGATTTTTCAATAATTGGAAAAAGAAGAAATTAGAAGCGGGTCGTTTTGACCCACCTGGTAGCTCTAGTGTTAAAGCACACATGGTCAAAGTGAGAACATAAAAGAACAATATTAAAATATATAAAAATGACCAGAAAATTGAATTTAAGTTAACCCTTAGCACTCAGAAATTTTTCACTAGAAATATTTAAACATTTTCTGATGACATAAAGACGTACACTGAGGAACAAAGTTATTTTATTTCAATATTTCTCAAACTGATGCGTTACATAAAGTAAAATATTAAATATCAAATTTTATAGTTTCACTATATGAAATCAGACGGTGAGAGTCACCTCTCCATTCCAAAGTTAATATTTTATTAAAAAAATCAATTCATAAGCAAAATACAACCGAAATTTCCATGGTATGGAACGTATTAACACGTCGAATGCCATGGGGGTCACCGGTGACCCCCGACCAAATCGAATTATTGTACTATAATTCACTCAATGAAATGACAATTATATAAAAACATTTCTATATTGTAAATAATGCTACATAATAGTGAAATTCAGCTAGATGAATGTGGAATAATAATGCAATTCGATCAAATGATTTAATATCATATTTTTTCCATTCTGCGTATTTTCCTCTTGAAATCGTGCGGTGTTCATGTTAACACATTGCGTACCGGCTACTTTTCAAAAAACTGAATTATTCGAACGGAAATTTTCAGTGAGATCAACTTATATTGCTATACATACAAAAACTCAGACATCATATTGTTATGTAATGTATTTTATCCCTTAGCACTCCAGAGGGTTTTGTAATCTATCAGCAACTGCAACTAATTTTTATAGTATCCCTAGTGAAAACAAAAAACGCTATAACATTTTTTAGATCTTTTATTTTCCTTAGTACAAAATTTGGATGTGTGAGAAATCTAATAATTATAGTGTAGTTTCTTTAAGATTCATTAAAATATCTAATACTATTCCTGGTGCAATATTGGAGCCTACAGAGTTCAAACAGTTAAATAGATAATCAATTTGAATCAAATTTCATATTTTTCTAAGTACCATAATAATTAGCAAAATTGCACAGTTAACTGTCTTTATATAAAAACGAGATTTCTCAAAGCCAGTACGCAACGTGTTACATTGCGTACTGGTTAGTTTTCAAAAAACTGAATTGTTCGGATGGCAATTTTCACCGAGGTCAACTTATATCACTATACATAGAAAAACTCAAATATATTGTTATGTAATGTATTTTAAATAGATAATCAATTTGAATCAAATTTCCTACTTTTCTAAGTACTATAATAATTAGCAAAATCGCACAGCTAACTTTCTTTATATAAAAACGAGATTTCTCGTAGCCAGTGCGCAACGTGTTAACCGTGTTTCCTAGTCCAGCGGTATGCTACGCGCGCACAGCTCCAATATGATTAAATTAATATACACTGTTTCGAACGCGACGCGATCGTCCGACGGCTGATTCGTGTTTTCCGTCGAAATTACGCGGGAAAGATGGACACGGCCGCCAAGGCAAGCGGTGGACTATGAATCAACCGGTGACAGGCTCTCAGCCGAAAAAGGAACGAGGCATTACCGTGGATAGGTATCACGGGAGAGATATAGGAGTCAAGGGTTTTCCGTCTCCTAAGACAAGAACACCGATGACGTAGTAAACATACACAGTGTCCGAGGCAACATCACCAGATTTCCTTCATGCCTCTTCCACGATGTCTCATAGTTTCCTGTTATGTGTGATCTCTATTGACACTAGATGACCTTGAACGCTACCGATCCGATCATAATTTAATATCATCTGCCAGACAAATAAATTCCATACAAAACAAATCATGGTTGCCTCCGACGTTGCCACCCGCGAAACATATTCCTACAGCAGTGGTCCCTAATAAAACTATGGAACCTCAGAGAAATACCAAAACACTATACCCGAAGAATTACCGATAATACACTCAATGCGCTCCCCGAGTACAATAATTCTTCCTACTAAAAAAAAGCGGTTTGAACGTATCGCGGTTGCAATTAGTCATCGACGGATACGATATTAAAGTTCCCGGACGCCGCGAACCTGCCGACCATGTCCGACGGTTTATCTGCGTTTGTCAGTAGATTTCGGGATCGATCGAATGATCGATGGAAACCGGCGGAAGAAAACAAGGGATAAACGGGACGCCTCGAGCTGGAGGAATAAACAGCTTCTGTTTTATGGGAGTTAGCCGGATTCACCGTGTTAGGACGGAGGGCTAGGGTCTCTTTGTCACCGGGGTCCCTCTAGCTGTTTCGGCGCGGCGCTCGTGATCACCGAAACGAAGGAGAGAAGCCGCGAGAGAGGAGGAAGAGAGTACAGGAAGAAACCAGACCAGTTCCACGCCCATATCGTGCACGGAACGGACAGCCGTTTTTTTCCCCCTATCTCTTTCTCCTTCCTCGTCTTCGGTCTCCACGCGTGTCAGGCTCACCTTGATGATCAGCTCGATCTCGGGCACGTCGCCGTTGCTGGTGCCGTTCTCGTGGCTGTCGTCCGCCATCCTCGGGTCCTCGAGTAGCTAGGACGGTATTCGTGCAAGCGAGACGCGCACTCCTTTTCCCCAGTTCTCCGCAGCGGTTCACAGCCGACACCGTTTTTCCTTCCTCCAAGCTGAACTCCGACAGAACGCGATGGAAGCTCGCGGAATACTGACGCAGCGCGTGCCGCGCCACGTTTACGACAATGGCGCCCACCTGTGAGGGAAACGACAGCTCGCCGACCGCTCGCGATCGGTATGGTAGAGAGCGTCCCGGAGCCCGGGAATATTGAAACGCTGGTGACTGGAAAGATGGTGGTTTTTTTAATACGTTGAATGCCATGGGGATCATTGGTGACCTCAACTAAATTGAATTATTATAGTTCACTCAATGAAACGACGATTATTTGGAAACATTTCATATTACAAATAATGCTACCTAATTTCGTGACATTAGAATTTCGTGACAACTAGAAGAACGTGCAATAATAATAATGCAATTCAATCAAATCATTTAATATTATATTTTTTCCATTCTGTGTAATTTGCTTTATGTAATCGCGCGGCGTTCAACGTGTTAATACGTTGAATGCTATGGGGGTCATTGGTGACCTCGATTAAATTGAATTACTATAATTCATTCGATTAAACGATGATTATTTGAAAATTTTTAGTTTGTAAGTACAACTTAATGCACTGATATTTAACAATTCAAACCTGTAATAACAACGTAATTCAATGGCATAAGTTGATGTTATTTTAATTTTCTGTATTTGAAAAATATAATTTTTAAATTAAATTTTTTGTATGTGAAAAATATACAAAATGGAAGAAATGTAATATTATTTTACTAAATTGTATTAGTATTATATGTTAATCGAGCTGAATGTTACCGTGTTATGTAGTATTATTTATAATGTAGAAATGTTTGCGAATAATCAATGTTTAACTGAATGAACTATAGAAATTTGATTCGGTTGGTGTTCAACCTGTTAATGTAAGTGGAAGAATTGTAAATTTAGGATATGTTACGACGGAGATGTTAAATGGGAGTTAAATAGGGTGTTCCATGGTGTTTAGGTTTTGATAGTGCATGGGAATAATGGTTTGGAATGAAATGTAGGAAAATGGTTGGAAGTTATGTGGTTCCTGTATGGAATGTTAAATAAATAGATCGTTTTGTATAACGAATTATGCAGAATTGAAAAATTGATTGGAAGCTTTTTGTTTGAAGGTCATACTAGAATGGAGGTTATGGCGTAAAAGAAAACAGATATCTTGGTTACATTATTCACGCATTATATTCTTAACGATAATGCTTAAACAATAGAGCAACAATAATAAAACAGCATTTCATATGTACACAATTAATAACTTTCCTGTTACTGCATCAAACGCATCGGCTTGCACGATCTCTAAACAATTGCATGATCTCGGCATGCACAAGTGTCCTTGTAAAATTGAGACTTAAATCTTGAACAACATTCATACCAATTTGCATCTTATTTACTCACTCTCTCTTTCTCTCTGTGGGAAGTAGAACAATCGAAGGAAAATAGGGGATGATCTCGGCGAAATTATTGCAGATGTTATACGTACATACATCTATTAGTAGTAATGGTCTCTATCGCTACTTCAGTTAGTTTTTCGATTCTGTTTTCTTCTACGAATTCGTATCGTGAGAAAAGAAAATGCACAGACACGGTTGACCTTAAATTAGATTATATCTGCATAAAAATATATTATTAATTTCTCTTGAACCTTATGGTAATAGGGACGACTGTTGTCGGTATTGCCTTTAAATATTCACCGATAAAAAGACTATCGGATCACCACTTTACTTCGACTGAAATTGATTGAATTGAATGACACTGATTTTCATTCAATTGGGAATGGATTTCATCCATCGAATAGAAAACACCTCCTATTAATAAGACTTCCAAGAATTAGTCTACTACATGATAGCATATTATTTCCTCATTTACATATATACTGGTTTAATAGAAGACATGGGGACTTCTAAAGAGTCTTTGAAGTGCTGATCTCCTACGACTCAGGAACCTCATTCATCAAGCCGTAACGTGTTCTTTTACTCTTTCGCAGCGCGTTAAAATTCGATTTCTTCTAAAAAAAAGAAAAGAAAAACAAAACAAACGGTATTAATAGAAAAATGATCAAGTATCAATACCATTTG